GGTAGTAAAAATGTATTTGTTGGCAAGGTAGTTTACACTTAGGTGGCCTCTAAAAAGAATAATGGTTAAGTAGGTAACGTAAATACTTATAATGGCCCTAAAAAGCGCCAGTGGTGAAACTTCCAGCTATTCCTTATTATTATTCCTGATGATGAAGAGCTGGCTACGGGTAGCTTGACTCTTACCCAGCAAGTCTCTATGTACGGAGACTGTAATGGGGGGAGATGCGCCGCTGACCAAAGAATATCTCGTCTTCAGGTCGTTCCCCAGATAACCAATCGCTCATCGTTAGACGGGAACATGTGGGTAAGCGCGTTGGAAACGCGACGACCAAGAAGGTAGCCGTTGTGGCAGCCCGTGCCCCTCAAAGCTGTTTTCCGTGGCTAACATGTGTAGCCATAAGTTCTCTGACTGCACCAGACAGAATGGTGGAACTGCCCCACAACTCTAAAGAGTTGGTGCAGTTTGGGCACTAGCTAGATATGTCTCCTGGTATTATGCCAGACGTCATCAGTTGCGATTAATTTTTTTTTGATCGCACTCAAAATCAGACCATTGCCACTACAAAACATTATAAAATTGTAGTTGATAAATGTCCAGGAAGTCTAAAACATCATAGCAAATGGACACAAACCCGTAAAAATGTTCAAAATCTGCGACTTTGGTTTTAAAAGATGGCCAAAACTTAAAATGGCCGTATCTCTGTAAATAATAAAGATAAAGCGAAATAAGTCTTAATTTAAAATCATCAAAAATTTCGCAACTTTTTTTTTTTTTTTTTTTTCTTCCATTCGCACCTCAAGCGAGAGGATTTGGGGCAAAACCATCTCACTTCGTTGTTCATTCAAGGTACGTGCTGCTGTCGGGGGTCTCGCCGTTCCGCGGTGACGACGCCAAAGAGACGGCCCAGAACATTACGTTCGTGCGGTACCGCTTCGAGTACCTCTACAAGGAGCTCAGCCAGGAGGCGACGCGCTTCTTTATGCTGCTGTTCAAGCGCGCGCCCAGGTATTATTGTTATTATTTACATTGGCACGCAGCCAAGCATACGGCTGCTATGAATATACCGAGGTGACTGAGAAAAAGAACAAGTAACAAATGTATACAATTTCACAGCAAACGACCTACCGCGGAGGAGTGCCAGGAGCACCGCTGGCTCATGCCCACGGACTACATGATCAAGAAGCGGGAGCGCTCGGTCTTCCTGGGCAACCGGCTCAAAGAGTACAACGAGGAGTACCACGAGCAAAGGCGCCAGTGCACCGTGGAACATGGCAGACTCGGCGAGGCTTTTGGCTCGTCCCAGCGCGAGCTCGCCAGGTCGAACAGCATACAGGACGAGCTGCTCACGACATTCTGAGCGGACCGTGGCCTCCTCATCCTCGAAGCTCACCGTCATCTTCGTCCCTCCGATCCATCATCTCCTTTCCTCATACACATTGCAGCTTCTTCTACTCTCACTTACACCGCACGCTACTACTTTTTTCCCCCTCGTTCATCACTTCATCATCGTCATCATCGTCATTCATCATCATCGTCTCAACCCCTCATTCAACTTAGTTCTTCGTTATTTTACTGTATTTAATTAATTATTTTTATGGTATCGAGCGATGTTCTGGTCGATTAAGGGCAGGAACGAACAATCGAAAGAAACAAATGTACATTTCTCGACGACGAAACAAATAAAAAAAAAAAAAAAAAAAAAAAAAAAAAAAAAAAAAAAGTCTCGA